TTTGCAGCCTGGGCAAACACGCGTTGCAACGCCCGACGCGCACTTTCGCACGATCGGAGTCATGTGGTCACGCAACGCTCTGGCCGTGAACAAGTTGACGAGTGCTTTGCGTTGGGAATTTCCAGCGATGTCCATTGATAATGACAATGTTCTCCCCCATAAAGTCATCGAGCAGCTCTCGCACTTGAGGCCCTTTGATAAATGTATCAAAGTGCACTTTGAGAATTTGCTCAAAATCCTCGGGTCGAGCCGAGAACAACCAGTCGTTCTTGCCCGGTTGGCGCAGTACGAACGGCGCTCCGTTGCGAGCGACACTGGCCTCGACCAGCCAGTCCTGGAACCGATCGAGGTTGCGAGCCATGAGCAGCGTATGTCCCAGAATCGGGTGTCCACCGGGCAGATACGGGACCGGTTTGACTTTCTCTTCTTCATCGTCCGAGTCGATTGCGTAGCTATTGGAAACGGACAGGAGTGTGGCGCCTGCAGCTGCGACGATCAGCCCAACCACGACCGGATGCGAGAGTATGTTCGAAAGAGATAACATCGCAGTTGACTGCAGGAGGCACGTAGGCGAATGAGCAGTGGCAAAGGCTTCATCGGCTTCGAAGCTTTTGATGGCGCTAGGTCGAGGGAGGAGCAGAATTTGAGGTTCATGGCGTACATGACTGCCCAGGCCTTTCCCGCGTGTGCCACTATCGCGTTCGAGGAAGGATGCAACAATGACAGCAGACGTCCTCTTGAAGTATGACACTTTGGAGGGGATGAAAGTCGAGTGACACTTGGTTTACAGCGACGTGATGGGCGTGCAAGCTCCATTTTGGTTGCTGCAATTAGGACAAGACACCCTGATAAATTGTAAATGTATTACTCTGGAGTATTTATTAATTTAATATCAATGACCTCATCTAACATTTTAATTTTGGTACACCGAAATGGGAGACATCATGCTCATCGTAGCTCGCGTCATTTTCTTTCGCGGCGGCATTAACATGCAATGTGGCAGTCACCAATCGCGAGCGGACAATAGATCACGGGCTTGACGTGAAGACAGCATGGATAGCGCTTTTGTGTCAGCTATGTGTCAGCTAGCTGTTCATCATCCCAAATGTTGAATTCGCTTACACAATACCCCCTACCAGTGATAAAATGTGTCCATTCTAAAGCACTTCAACTTTCGTACAATTTCAGATTGTGAATGTACCGACAAATTGGCCACGGCTTGCGTGAGCAGGGAAAGTCTTGGTGCCTTGAGACGGCAACCATCCATTGCCTGGCTTTCCAGCGGGGCTTCCGCAAATTACTCCATGGCAAGACAGGAGCCTCAACGCGTTGCTCAATACATGTACCCGTGAACGCTTCTTCGCGTGTTGACCGCAACTCGCATGCCACTCCTGGGCATCTGCGATGCTGCCTATTGTCCCGGCCACCAAACCTTGGACGGACTTTGCGCTATAATAAAGGTGTTTTGCCGCTCTAAAACCTATATCGACATTTAGATATATAGGGTAAAAATGGGTGCTGAGTCCGAATCTGACGTCGGATTCTGCAAATTCGAAGCCCTTCCCCTTCATTCTGGCTGTCGAAAAGACCCACTATTTGTTGCAGAATTCTTTGCAATTAATAGCCTGCCACGTACAGCGTTTTCTGTCTCTACGATTGGCTTAAGCAGGATAGCAGCCGGAGATTCCCAATCATTTTGGATAAATTTCAATAAATGACGCCCATCGTGTTTCTTACCATCATGGTTAACATGATACAGCTGGTGTTACAATTCCTTAATATAGCATAGATCTGTCATTTCGTTCAGCTCGATCTGAGATAATCAAATTGGATTTCACCTGCA